TCCATGCACTCTCTGATTGGTCTGGTGACTTGCCTCTGTTGCATTCACTGAACACGGGAAATTGCAGTCCTGCCGTCCTCTCTTGTGTCATGATGAGGTTCACATAAAGCACGGTTAATGTATTATATTATTGAGGTGTCTCAAATATACGTCAATCAAGTGGCACCTGCTAACGGGGTGGTGGATGATATGTTTACATCTAAAAACATGTTTTTCAAACATTATTATTTTTATTTTATTTTTCTTTCTTTTGTTACTTTTTTTGTTAACGGTCCGCGATCTACCCGCACCACACTCGCGATCGACCACTGGCTTAGAGTAAGGCAATATTTTTCTGGTGTCCTTTTTTGTTTCAAAGTGCTTTATAAACACCCCAGAAAACTGCTAACCAAAAAGCCAACCACTAAAACACCTGGCTGCTCATTCACAGTCCGTAACCTTTAATATAAACAAACTGTTGCATCCAGTTTAGCATACAAAATTGAAATGGTCCAATCTGCATAAATCTCATATCGTCTGCTAATTTAGAGAGGAAAAAGGGCAGGAAAAGGAGCGAGGTCTGTGAGCTGCGCAGATGTGCGTGCTGTTTATCACTGCCAGTGAAAGGTCTGCATCAGCAGCAGCTGTGAGGTGCTTTGCATGCGATGGCAGCAGTGCGTTGGTAGGGCCAGATTTGCATTTGTGGTTTCATATCATGAGCACCACCTCTCCCTTTCTTCCTCCCTTACTTTCCCTTTTCTCTTTCTCTCTCTCTGTCTTTCGCTGAACGGGAGGATCTTTCTGTGAGAGGCAGAAGAGCCATGAGAACAGCCTAAGTAGAGCACTGGAGCATAACCCAGGAAGGTTCAGGCTGAAACGGATCCAAGCATAACATCAACACTAGCAAATCTCTCCATCACACTCAAGGGCAAAGTGGCACAGAGCTATACACACATGCATAGAAATATGGATCTAAAGCTGAAGGCCGTGCACTAATTTGTCTCTAATGAAAGCACATTTTGTTGAAGTTGGCTGTTATGAATGCCACCTTTCTTTGACATCAAATGAGGCACAGTTATTCAGTCTTTTGCCTGTCGGTGAGTATGAGTTACATGCCATAATGGGGACTGAGGTTTGAAGTGATTTAGTTCAGTGTCTTGGTAAAAGGAAAAAAAGAAAGAGGGAAAGTTGAAGGTCTTTGGGTCCGCATGTGTTCGTTGGAGTCACAGTGATCTGGAGGAACATCTCATGAAAGGGTTTACTGTGGCTTTCATCTCCACAATGCGTTCTGATGGGAAGAATTTCCTTGCAACCCAATCAAAAAGAAAAAACCTCATGTTGTTAGAACACCCTCACTTTTTGCAATTTGCAATTCCCTTATATATAATGTGCCGTTCTCAAAGTCAAATTATTTTTTGTGAGAACTTACCCTCACAAAAAAAGGGTATATACTGTAAGTGTTTTGTGTCGGAATGAATCCTATTTAGTTGACAAATGGAACACAGAACTGCTGCGCTGCCGCGCTGTATTGGTTTCATTATACTTTAAAAAGAATTGCAGAGGTAGAAAACACAATGTCTGTTACAGGGTGATTGATTGCTGCTTGTTTCTATTATCAACTTAAGCACAGACGGCATGATATGCAAAGAGTTGAAAGTACAAACACTGATATTTGAATATATAAATAGAACGCAAACCTCTGTCTATCGTTCAGTCGATATCAAGATTTTGTCAATATAATTTCTTCTTTTGTTGTGTTGTGAGTGATTTGACTCCAGTTACTAAGAACTTTAAAGGGGCCCTATTACGCAAATGTTCAGGTTTAGTAAATGTATGTTGTTCCTCTACTGTGACATTTTTACATGCTTTAATGTTCAAAAAGCCCTTTATTTTTTCCTAATACTGCCAGTGCTGCAGCACCTCTTTTCCAGCCAATAGAAGCTTGAGGGTGATGTGGTCATGTCACTATGTTACAGAAGTAAACAAAGGAGTCTAACGGCCCGGCCACACGGCGGCGTGCGTTGAACCTTCAACGCTTCTGCCCGTTCACTTTGAATGGGGTGACGTCACGCTTCGCCGAACTGCATTGTGGTTCCGTCGCTACGCGTTGCTCGCTGCAAAAGTTGATCAATGTTCAACTTTTGAAGCTTCGACGGAAGCGTCAGCCAATCGAAACATATGCCAGTACAAGCTCTAGCCAATCAAACTGCGTGCTTGTGTGTCCAGGACGGGAGATTCATGTGATTGGTTGTTGGTCGAGTTTCAGACACGCCCGCCGGCAAGCTTCAACGCACCACGCTGTGTGGATGGGCCGTAATCGAAGTGTTTCAGGCAGTGGGAGAGAAATTCCCTCTGGAGGGAACTTTGGAATTGTAGCCTTTGCAGACCAACTAACATGCACACAATCCTATATCACACAATACAGGAAAGTGAAAAGCATAATAGGGCCCATTTAAATTGACTTTTGACTAAAAAGCAATGCTGGATTACAGGAAAGTTAAGTGTGTTAATGAACAATTGTGCTGGCTACCAAAAGTTTGATTGAGCGAGTCTCTTGCTGAAATTAAAAGGGGCACACAACCTTCTGGAAGTTTTAACTTAAAATATTCCCAATGTTCTTGCCTCACTGTTTCACATTTGAAATCTGCAGTGAATCTCCAGCCATTCTAACAGGCTGTTAGAGGGGATCATGCTGACCTCAGTCTTGGTGTCCATCTCTTGTCTCTCCAACCTGCATCAGACCTCACTGTTCACGCTGTTATCACCTCCTAGCAGACTCCTTTATCCCTCTTTGGCAGGCTCTTGATAGACGTCTCGGCTCATTGTGTGTGAAGGTGTCTTTGTATCGGTGTGTAGTGGTGCCCCACAATACTGTTGCTAGAATGTTGTCTTGGTGTCTGTTCCCCTGCTGCCCTCGAGACCCCAATAACCACCTTCTGTGACAGGAGCTCTTCACTGAGCTCTTGAACTCTCTTCCACTTTTTTACGCAGAATATCATCCTCTATCGTTTTCTGCTTTTCTATAATACTCGGCGCCCTCTTTCGCTTTTCTTTTTTTGTCAGGGAGCAGTGAATAGAGGGCAGGGAGCTACAGTTGGAAATTAGCTTTTAAGTATGCGAAGTATGTTCATTCATTCTCCTCCAAGCCCTCAGAGCGCTCACCCATGGCCCCCCCTACAGGCATATAAAGTCCTATAGCGTCCCCTCATGCTGTTTTCCACATTCTCTGTTTCCCTGGTACCTACAGTTCCAGCGGGATCGACGCCAGGCCCCTTCGTTTCTCTCGCTGTGACCCGAAACCCTGCCAGAGCCCGTCCAGGCTTAAGGGGGAGCGCTAGCCTCGTTACTATGGTCACGCCAATCATAGTGATCTCGGCCATGAATGAGAAACTTTCCCAAGATCAGCTTTAAGATCCTGTGTGCTGTAGACGTGTTATTAACAAAAAGAGAATGATCTCAGTTGCAATGGTTCAATCTAGATTAAAGTTATAGATAGAGGGCTATACCAATTATTTGCAGCTATAGGCAGGGGCGCCGTAAGGGAGTGAAAAGTTAGGACGATTCTCAGGGCCGTGACTGACAGGGGCCCAAACCATTTGAGAACATTAAGAAAAAAAAGTTTAAGTAACCAATGTGATTATCTTTTCATGGGGCCCAGAATCCCTGGCGGCGCCCCTGGCTATAGGTGACAACATTTCAAATTTCAAATTAACGCCAACCAAATTGTGACGACAGCCAGAAAACCTCTTGAAAGTGCTTTGCATCGTTGGAGAGCAAAGTCACTGTGTTCTCGGTTATTTTAAGCCTCATCAGAGATGTGAGCTCACCAGAAGCTTATTAGTCTTTCTGACAGGATATAAAACATGTTGAATGAGTGTCTGCAATTGTCTTGGACTGCAGTGCTGCTCAAATAACTGAAGCAATATTTCATATTTTTTTCTCAAATTATAGATATTTATGTCATTTTCCATTGAAATGGTCTCTTCATGTCCTCTCACTGCCCTGCACATATGTGTATGTTTGACTGGAAAAAGCTTGGGAATTAGGCAAAGATATTATTAACTCAAAGGCAGGATGGAGCTCATTGCATGCTCTACAGAATATTTACGTTGGTTTTATTTTCATGGCTTAATTGCTTCCACATTGCTTTGTGGCCCTGGGTCGTGAAACTCTGTAAACATACCCCTCTGCCTCCCCTCTGCCTCCCCACAGTCCCCTTGTCTAAATACCAGAGATGGGGCTCACTGATTGGTGCTCCTGCGTGCTTATCAATCACTCATCTGCAGTGTGACACCTTGAAAACTGCCTGAACAAGTGATGTGAAAATGGAACACCCCACAAGGCTACACTGAGAGATCAATGTTAAGATAACACAACAGCCTTCAGACATTGGAGATGAATGGATTGAGTGATTGTCTGTCTTGGAGTGAAACTAGAAAAGTGTGTTAAAGCACAATGTGTACTCTTTTGTGTATGTTGTCTAATTGTATCGCTTTGGGTTCAAGAATGTTTCTTAAAACTTGTCTACATTTCCCAGCTCACTCCTACATATACAACAAGATTATTTGGGCTTTTGATCTTATAGAAAGTATGAAAAAAAGCTCCAGGCCTTTGAGCATAGGACTTATATTGAAATTGGAAATGTTATGGCAGTTATAAAAGTATGTCTCATTTTTGTATGTCTTTGTCAGTCACATTTGACACACTAAGCAAATAATTAAACACATTTGTGAATACAAGTTTTGAGAATTTTGGACATTTTTATTTGAACAGGTAAAGATGTGAGCTAAAACTCCTGGTTAATATATATCGTTGTTCGTTAAGTGTTGTTTGTATAAGAAGTGTCAAATAGATGTAGTGAAATGTACATCATTCCTCTTTTTAAACGTAGGAGAATAAATAAAAAATGAAGTACAAATATATTGAAAGTACAATTCTTGAGTAAATGCACTTCGTTACATTCCACCACCACATCAGTTTATGTGAGATTTCTAACCATTTTGTGCGTATTGTGTATCCTCAGGGCTCCAGAGATCATCCTGGGGCTGCCGTTCTTTGAGGCCATAGACATGTGGTCCCTGGGCTGTGTGATAGCGGAGCTCTTCCTGGGATGGCCCCTCTACCCCGGAGCCTCAGAGTACGATCAGGTAACATACGATTGCAGCTTGTTCCTCCAAACCGCTTCCTTCACGGTCACTTGTGTTCATGTGTGTGTTCTCTCCTCGCAAGTGTGCACTCACGAGTGTGTTTGGGAGGGTGGGATGCTTCTCTGAATCCCCCTGACAGGCCCTGATGATTCTTGCGCAGCCTCCATGTTTATCTGAACAGATGCCACAGAGCCACTTGTCCAATTAGCGCAGCCCCTGTGCTCCAGAGCAAGACATCGCCGCGTTCCCCCTTCTCTATCAGTCAGATGAGGCTCGGTGGGAAAACCTTGAGCAAGTTGTGCTCCATCACTGAACAAGCTCGCCTGATTTTTTCCCCAAAAACTACACAAAGTGTCTCATTTACAAGTCTCAAATCAATCTTAAACTCTTCAGCTGAGGTCATGTTTGGGTGCTGTGCATATTGCTGCCGGATAAGTCTGGAGTAGTTAATGTCAGCCTAGATTTTCAATCTGCCAGAAAAGTCTCCATCGTAAAGTTGATCTCTTTTTGTCACTGGGAAGAATAACCATGCTCCTTAATTTAATGCTCCTAATGGTTCAATCATGCATATGAGGGGAAAAGTCCCAAATTACATTGTTTCATCAACTGTTTTGCAGATCCGATACATCTCACAGACACAGGGTCTGCCTGCGGAGTATCTGTTGAGTGCGGGGACAAAGACCACCAGGTTCTTCAACAGAGACCCCGACTCCACCTATCCTCTCTGGAGACTTAAGGTACGGCTTGAATGATAGACACTAACAAAGCAATTACTTCCAGCTAGCATCAACAACATCCTTAAAAGAGCAGGAGATTTGATGACCCTGGTTATAAGCAAAGTCAGAGGGTAATGAAGGAAACATTTATCTGAGGGTTTGGCAAATTGAAGCCCTGCCGGATGAATCCAGCTCCCAGGGTGTCTGCTCTAACTCTTCCCAATGTCCCTCCATGTAGGCCACTCTGTAAGCAGGTCCACTTTTTTACTTTTGTTACCCTTATTAACTCAAGTTAAACTTTTGTTACTAAGTTTTGGATTGAATTACACAAAAATATTAATCCAGCTCTAGATTGATGTTATATCGTGTCTAGGAGAAGAGACGAGTGCCTTTTCATGAATCCCAGTGACATACCAAACTGACAACACTGATGATGATGATGATGATGATGATGATGATGATGATGATGATGATGATGATGATGATGATGATGATGATGATAAGGGCCTTGAAATGAAGACATAAAGCAACATAGAGTACATAGTGTACATGCCCTTAAGTTAGCTGCACATAGGCTTTTAGAAGTTGTCAAGTAAATGTTGTGAAGCCTTTGCATGCAAATTTAAAGGGACAGTTCACACCTAATCCGAAATACATTTCTTTCTCCTAATTTTAGTGCTATTTACTAATCTAGGTTGTTTTGTGTGAGTGCTGGGGATATATGAAAAGTCTGCTTTCTTTAGAATGTAATTAGACTAGATGGCATTCAGCTCGTGATGCTCAAAAAATACATTTGAAAAACACAAAAGCAAAATCATGACCCGGTTACTCAAGATAAATCACAGACGTTGTTGTGCGCAGTTACATGTAGGAAGTATTTTCTTTCTGCCTTACTACACCTTCCAACTGGTCACCTATTAAGAAGGAAGCGTACATTAATTCAATGCCTAGAGGCTTGTGCCAATGAAAGCGTGAGGTTCAAATATTAATGCAATCCTCCTTGGCAGAGCTGTATAGTTATTTAGCTAGCTAGCTTGATGTGCGCTGATACAGGTTTAGTTAAGTAGAGGGAAAATATTCCCTACTTGAAACTGCTTACAAAAAGGTAATATAACTAATATGATTGATATATAGATATATACAATTATGACCTTATGGATAGAAAGTCCTTTTTAAAACACATTGTTCTTTAATAAGGGGGTTTCTGAGTTACAGAAGATATGAGCTGACAGCAGAACTGACACAGGGACAGATTATTAGCTCTTCTTGACACCGCTGCTGTAACGTATCTGTCTTTGGCATGTGGAAAATTAAACATGAAGCCATCCTGACCACTCTTTTCCACTCTGAAGAGTGATTGCTCAGCTTTAATTTGACCTTGCCATATGTGTCCACGTAATGGCAGCTGCATGTCTTTGCTGACTGTAATTAAAAAATATCATGTGTTCAGTCAGGAGGTTTCTATAGTCAACACAGATTAGTTTTGTGTACATTTGAAAATCCTCGCATGTGTTTATACTGGTCCGTGCACTTTCACACAGTTTACTTTAACGCGTGTCCAGGTGTTTGAAACACGTGTGTGGAGTGAAGTTTATATGTTGTATATTGTCTCAGTGATGTAGTGTGTGCCTCTGCATGCCATCCCCCCGGCTGCTAGATGAGTGTTTGTGTGCTACCCCAGGGTTGCTCAGAGGGCAAACGGAGTCCTGCTGCATATCACCAACAAGAGGCTGTAATGAGCCAAATGTAAATAGTGCGTTTCCAGAGGGGAAGTGTGATGGGATTTGAGAGGAACATCTGCTTCTTGTCTCCCGCAGATTCAAGAGGACCACGAGGGTGAAACGGGGATCAAGTCCAAGGAGGCTCGCAAGTACATCTTCAACTGTTTGGATGATATGGCGCAGGTATGCTAATTCAGAGAGCATTACTCTTTTTTCCCAACGATTTGTACATTATTTGTCTTTTGCATGAATCAAATACACCTGTTCTGGCAATTGAAGCTCCACTGCTGGGTCTTCTCAGGGCTGGTTTGATCCATCACATCCCGAGAATTATCTATCAAATATTTGAAACCCTTTAAACTATTTATCCTGCCAAGGCCTGATCTCCAGATGCGTCGTAGCTTGGCTCCTATATGGAACTTTACAGGGTGAAATGAAAGCAGCTGTTCACTGAAACTCCTCCTCAACTCTGCCTCTGGCTTCTCTTCATTTTGCTCCACTGCTGTGTAATAAGTTACAGACAGAGATTTGAGCCGAACATGTGGTGAGGGTGGTTAACGTCGATGTAAAGTTTGCTTTTCTTTTTCATGCTGGAGTGAGTGTTGTGGCTAGGTCTTCAGTTTGTACGTTTATAGTACATGAAGAGGGCAACTGTACAAAATGATTTACCCCCCACCCTTTCTTAACACAGAAACACACACACACCCAGTTTCTTAGATCAGCTCAGTGGGACCAACACCATATTGTGTCTTCATGACTCAGCTGTTTAGCTCCTCTCTCCCTACAGCCCTGAATGTCACCTCTGGGAATCTGTTTGTTTAGAAGTGAGGTTTTTTGTTAATTGCCAAAGGCCCCTTACTCTTGCACATTCTTGTTTATGTGAAAGAACAACACAATAGAAATGTGAGAGAAAGATATTAGATCTGATGTAGTCAAAATATGTGAACTATTTCAACACAGAATACCCATAAAACAATGCACTTACACTAATTAATATAGCTGCAAGTAACACTGTACCAAAAGAACATTTAATAGACGAATATAGACTAATTTAAAAATGTATTCAAGTTTATAATAATGTCAAAATAAGTGTTTTTGTCTTAGTGCTTACATTAACACAGTTTCTCATTAAAGTATTTGAAATAATATACAGTTTATAGGATAAGGATGTGATCTGTTAAGTTTTTTAGACTCAAACATTTACAAAAAAAATGTGTGCAATGATGCCTTTTCTGAATTTTTATGAAAACTTTTCCCAGAGTCCATGGCAGAGTGCCCCTGACCCCACTTTGGGAACCACTGAGAGTGCCCTATATAGCACACTTTTATATGGAAAATATCTCACGAACACGGCTACATGTAATGTCACTTTCCTCTATGACTCCGTTTGAATTCATCCCTCCACAACGGTGGGAAAGTTCACAGGTAGCCATGACATTTTGATAGGACGTGGTTGACAGGGGAGATGATAGTGAGTCTTGTTTTGTCCACCCTCGCTCAGCCAAATACTGGTCCTGCTGGCAGATATGGCGGCGGTGATGGAAAATTACAATGTTTTTTTCCCAGGGCTTTTTCGAAATCTGTGACAGTACTCTCTTGTCATCGTGCACCTCGATCATACCTCTGATAATGACGCACCAAGAGATCAGAGCTAAGCAGGTTAATTACTTCTTTTGGAATATGGTCATATGCAACCAGGCCTGCCCATGTGTCCAGTGGAGGGAGAGACTTAAGTGATGGAGACAATTATGGTTGTCCAGTAGCGCCCAGGGCCGTTGTCAGGCCTGTCTGGAATAACATGCTGTCGGCTGGGAAAAGATAGCATCGCTGCCTGAGCTTGTTGCGTTTACAGTTAGCACACACACACAGGCAGCACAGACTTTAATGAAACCAACCTGCACCGGTATAATATCCCCTGGGTCATCTCTGTCTCCTACGCTTCAAGCAAAGAGTCCCATCTTCCTCTCGCTGCTGCAGCCAGACTCCATACAAAAACACATAGCAGAGCTGCAAAAGCCTAATGTGGGAGAAAACTGCCTATTTTGCCCTATCTCACCATCCCGACCGTATAAACAAGTCAGCATTGTGGACATCTGTCTCCGCGTGTATAATGGATGATGTAGCTGAAGGCCCTGAAAGACACAGAGGCTGGGTGCCAGGAAGAGATAATGAACCTCCTCTCAGTCGTGGGAAATGTGGGGAGACTTCAGTCACAAGTATATCTAATTTGTGTAAATCAGAGACCAACTTAGAGCAAATGCAGGACCCCGCTGCAGGCCTGGTGTAGACGGCCGCTTGGAAAATGGATTCACTTTGATCTGCAATCCTTCAATATCTCTGTTGATAGGAGTGAATGCACGGCAGGAGGTGCAGCACCTTATCTTTCTTTTATTACACGCACTTAAAAATGCACTTTTCCTCTCTTCTACTTCTTCTGAAAAGTCGAGTTTATTGCACACGTCATATTGTTGTGCAGGAAAAAGGCCTGCATCCTGCCTGCATAGCCCTCATCTCCCGAGGCGTAGCCCGATCTGTCTCACTGCTCGACATCTGCCATGCCTGCCCTTACTCCAGAGTGGCCTGTCAGCGCTCCCCACGGCACAGATGTGGCTCCATAAACAGCCGTTGACATGCAAGGCACGCAAGGCTGACCATGTTATTCGAAGCCTCTTGTCTTAGTGACCGTTTTAATTTCAAGCCAAGATTAGAAAATGTCAAATGTTGCTGTTATTGAGAGAAAATGAAGCACGGGACATGCATTTCCTATCTAGTATATTTCACATATCTTAATTAAATGGATAATAGGAAAATGATGGGGCTACTTCTTATTCAGCCTGGGTTATTGTGGCACGCCTCCCAAATGCTATGCATGTGCCAACCAAACTGTGTACATTTCCCAAAGTCATCTCTTCCACTAGCAGAGGACGATGTGATTATTTCTCACCTCACTCCGCACATTATTCCTTTATCACAGCCAGCGGAGGTGGCAAGCAGAGAGGAATGGCTACAGAGCCTGAATAACCTGCATAGAGGAAGATAATTGAATCAGATTTGCGGTGTTGACTGGCAGCACATCTGATAGCCCCTGGAGCAGGCCTACAGATAAGTGCTGCGTCTTTATTAAAAACAGGCCTGCTCCCACTGCATGGCAGTCACAATAAACAAGGCTGCCTTTCTGTTGCAACTGTCCCTGTCTCTGCCTGACAATCTACTTGTTTGCTCAAACTCATACTAGCTATATCACGACCTTGTCCCACTCCCTTCATTCTTTACCCCACATGTATAAGTAAACCCTGCTCAAATAAAAAATCAACAGTTTTGTAGCTTTTCACAAGAGAAATCTGCTGCTGTGCCCAGTATTTATCCACATCCTTAACTGCAATGTCTAATACAGATATATTCCAAGGCAGCTTCCCAGAACCTCTTCAAAATATATTATTATGGTTGTCTCATGTCAGCTTTTCTCTGAGGCTCTCACAAAATGGTCCTTTGTGAACTTAGCCAAGGGCAGCATTTATTGCGTCCATGTTTTTTGTTTGTTTTCGCATCTCAAGAATAGATAAAAATCTCGACGAAGGCGCCAGGAGATATTTCAAGTGGCACTATAAATACCAGTGCAAATGTTTAAAATGTCACTAAGGTGCAAGGTTATCACTGGGCCCTGTGACACTCACACTGGCACCCTAACTGATGAAGTATTAATAGGCCTCTCTATGGGAATGAACTGTGGGGGAATTCGTTCTCAACACATTAGAGACCTTGAATGGGTCATTATGCTAAGATGCTTGTGTCTGTTTCAGGTGAACATGACGTCGGACCTTGAGGGGAGCGAAATGCTGGCGGAGAAGGCTGACAGGAGGGAGTTCATCGACTTGTTAACCAAGATGCTAACCATCGACGCGGACAAGAGGATCACTCCTATCGAAACGCTCAACCACCCCTTTGTCACCATGACGCACCTCCTCGATTTCCCCCACAGCACACAGTACGTGCCGCTTGTTTATTTATTAATCATTTCAACAGTGAATTTTGACCAGAGATGGCAAAAGTACACACATCCAGAAGTACAGATACTCGTGTTTAAAAATACCGACTACATTTCTTTACTCGAGTGAAAGTAAATAAGTATGGGCTTCAACATGTACTTAAGTAAAAGGTACCCATAGCTACCGACAGTTATTTATAGAGTAACTGACCTCACTTTATATTAATAGAACAATAAAGGTATTCTATTTCAAATTGTAATTATGTCATTGTTAGCTAATGAATGTTTCAACACTGAACAACAACCATTTAGAACACAAGCAAAGAAAAACTAAGTGGGCTACTTTGCTTCTGGTTCAGAGGATGATGGGAATAGACTCAAGCCGAGTTCTCATTGGTCCCTCTTCTTTAGAGAAGACCAGGATATGATGGATACACGGATCGTGTTAAAATCAATAGGCACACAATGACTCTAAATAATAATGATCACGCCACCAAACACACATTCAAACTAAAGTAACAAACCTGTTTTGAAATTGTAAGAAGTAGAAAGTACAGGTATTTGTGTTAAAAATGTAAGAAGTAAAAGTAAAAAGTTGTCAGAAAAATAAGTAGTGGAGTAAATTACTGATACCAGAAAAATGTACTTAAGTACAGCAACGAAGTGTTTGTACTCTACTACTTCCCACCTCTGATTATGACAATGCACTCATTCTGTCTCCCTCCCTGTACAGTGTGAAGTCGTGCTTCCAAAACATGGAGATCTGTAAGCGTCGCATCAACATGTACGACGCGGTCAACCAGAGCAAGACGCCATTTATCACCCACCTGGCCCCCAGCACCTCCACCAACCTCACCATGACCTTCAACAACCAGCTGAACACTGTGCACAGCCAGGTAACGCCTCCTTCATCAGTATGCTGAGGGAGAACTTTTATGCTGAGAGATGCTAATTAATTTAACTATGGTTTACGGCGTTTCCATTGCAAAAAAAGACATGAGAAGTGGAATATTTATCGTGTATATGTATCACAATGGATAATTAAAGCTGAAAGCCTCGAGCAACAATAGGAAAGATGCGTCTTGCTTACACGCCCAGTCAAATGCTGTCTTAACCAAATAATCGTATTTTAAACGCCCAGCTGTCAGTAGTTTACCAGCTCAGCAGCCCATGAGCGCCTGTTTGTTTCTTTGTTCTTTTTCTTTAGTGGATGTTTTTTCCTGTCTGTCTGCACGTTTCCATTCTTACTCGCCTGCCTTTCTGCCTTGGTGCATGGATATCTGTCTGCCTGCATTTCTGTCTGTGCCCCAGGTCCTGTGGGATTGTCACAAAGTGCTGATTACACACATGACAAGCCCCACTTCCTGCTTGCCTTGCATTCTGGGGCTTTCAGGCCTTAAGAATCCCTTCTCCAGGCTTCCTCTCTTTTCCCCTCCTCTCACTCCTGTCCTCCTCTGTCTTCTCCTCTTTCCTCCCATTTCCTCGGGTTGAGCCTGTGGTGCTTTACCGTTTTCTTTCCCGTACGGTCTTGTGAATCGAAATTGCTGACTGCTGGCTTACGCCGGAATCACGGAGCGTCGTGTTGCAAGGTTTTCCAGATTGTGCTTGGTTACAAATCCCGCTCTCTTCCCCTCCTCCCGCCCCTCTTATTCAGTAAACAGAGTTCTTTATCACCAACTATATCGAGCCGGCTCACACTGTGTAGCATGCGACAAAAACCCCCATCTTGCTGTGATTTAAATGGATTAACATTCCCTCGGCTTGTCTTTTTCCGCGCCCGGCTCTCGGGGCATATAGACAGACTTAAGTTAGTGATTTATTCAGTACGATTCATTTGCAAGGCCAGAATGCATCTCTGCCGTGTGTTTTGCTGCTTCTGTGCTTGTTTATGATGAATGCCACAGTGGCATATTGATTATGTTCTCTCCCCTGGTGTTCATCGAACACGCTAAAGAGAGCAAATGAAAAATGAAAGCGCTGTCTCTGTGTTTCCATCCGCCCCTGTGTACGCTTAATGAAAGGGCTAAAATTAGACAGCATCTTGTAGAGCAAATATTACTTACGAGCAAACGGTGTCTCTCTTAAAAGCATTTGTTTGTTTCCAGGATGTTCCCAGGCTGTCTGAGTATGTCTTATTACTGGTCAAGACATGCGGCAGTTACCTAAGCTTACATAATTAGAGAGTGACAGTTATGGGGAAATATAACTTCAGTAAGGCGTATTGATTTGGAGGCTAGATAGTGAAGCCGTGGCATTAAATGTCAAGTTTCGCTGCAGCTCGTTATCTTGGTTCATTATGATTCTGTAACATTTAAATGGTCTTATAATATGATTTCTTTATGACTTTACACACTGATTGCTGCTGTGTGGTTGAATGAATGATGTGTCTTTGAGTAATACTGAGCATAGTGTCATCATTATAGTCTAAATAAGAAGTTTGTTTGCCAGTAAAAACGCTGAGGAATGATACAAGATGATCAGAATCTAAGTCTAAATGTGATCCGTTGGCATTTCGCTCATTGACGGTTGATTATTCTAAGCATTGATTGCATCTCTCCTCACATTCTCTCCCTCCCTTTAATCAATCAAATCAACAGTGTGCATATTTTAAGATGCTTTCAAATCAGTAGTCCAACTTCCTTATTCCTCCATTAGTTCCCATTAATGATGGATGCCCCTCCACCCATCTTATCTTGATCCGAGGCTTGTTCTGCATCTTTATATGTGTGTTATCTTTTTTTGTGTATTTGTATTTTGAGTGGGGGTTTAAATTCACATTTTCTACATGACACAACATTTAACTGGCTCCAAAAAAAATGTTATAAAATAAATTGACTTACATCAAATGTATATATATGAAACACTAATAATAAATACAATAATTAAAGAACTACAAAGTTGAAGAAAATGGTTGTCATCAAATAATATTGTATCTTTATGTCTTTTTATATTTTTTGTATAATTGTATTTTGAGTTGGGGTTTGAAAACACATTTTCTACATGACACAACATTCCACTTGCTCCACTTTTTTTTTTTAATACAAATACAAAATGAAAATACATCACATGTATACTGTATACTGTATATGAAACACTAACAATAAATACAATAATTAAAGAACCACAAAGAATAAATAATATTTCATCCCCATTCATACATACATACATGCAAACAAAAACCCACCCACCCAGATACCTTTATGCTTTATTTGCATTGTTTTCTCAGAATACTGTTATCTTTCTGTTCTTTACCATGCCTGCTGTTCAACACCCCCCTCGGCGAACCCCCACTTCCCTGTTATTTCCCATCAGCACCTCCACTCTCATGATTTTTATTTTGATCCCATCATTCCTTTAGGCCACCAACCTGGTTCCTTCCTCCACCAACAATGCCACCCTTTCCTTTGCAAGTCCTGATGTCTCCATACTAAACTACCAATCTGCACTCTACCAGCCCTCCGCTGCCTCCATGGCGGCCGTGGCCCAGAGGAGCATGCCCCTGCAGCCGGGGGGGCCTCAGCTCTGCAACGCCCGGCCCGACCCCTTCCAGCAGGCGCTCATCGTCTGTCCACCTGGCTTCCAAGGTAAGAGAATCTGACCAATCAGTACGCATTAGTGTAAAGCAGGGTTGTCCAAACTACGGCCCGGGGGCTAAATGTGGCCCGCAGACCTCAACAAATTCATAAAGTATAATGGAATATGGCCCACAAATGAAACTTGTGCTTGTCTTATATTGTACTTCTTAAATATAAATGTAAAAATATATTACACAGTAGTATTCATGTGTTAATAGCCCACTTTACAAATAAATTCAGTCAATTAAAGTTGGTAACATTTTCTAACATATCTTGTTGGTAAGAAAAAAGCCCAATCAATTGTTTACATAGCAAGCTTGAAATACACCCTTCCTATTTCTTCTTATTATAATCAATCTGAGGCTTCTGTTTTAAGGGATGAGCTGCCAACACTCGCAAGCATCATTTACCTACATTTGATTGATTTTCCTAACTTATAACTTCCCTTATGAGGCAATATACCTCTAGTGAGTGGCCCAGCCCTTCGTATGTTTTTCTGTATGTGGCCCTCGGTGAAAAAAGTTTGGACACCCCTGCATTATTAGTGTGAAGAGTGGGATTAATGGTCATCTGTGCAAAATATAAGATACCAGCAATGTGTGTTGCAATAGAACAGACCATGATAATTCATTGCATCATATCAAAAGGTGTTCATCTGTGGAATAACTGTAATGATGAACTGAAATACTCTGCAACTTTATCTAAACTAAAACAACTATTTAGAAACCAAATCCTGAATGGTTATAAGCAGGACCTGTGAACTCCTGCTTGCTATTTCTTGTCGTTGTAAAAGTTATTTGTTTTTGGTTGTTTTGTACAAATGAATTATTTGTTTAAAACAATGAATCAAATATCACTGATCACGATGACCTAAACTTTTATTTTCATGAACAATGTACGCTAGAGGGGGGTAGGACCAGAACATTTTTTAACCTTATTCTTGCCCCTTTTGAACATGATAGAAACTTTTTGAGAATTTATTTTTTATATTTGTATACCTTGAATTTTTTTTTATTTTGCTTCACTTTGTAAAAATTATTATTATCGTTTGTTTTGTTTTTAACATGTTCAATAAATTGACTAATAAGAGATGGAACTCACCTATTCAGCATTTTTTTTTTATAATAATAATGTACCAGATTTACATCACTGGAGTCTTTTTAAATTCTCCATGCATAGACATTTCTCCTGTTCTTGCATTTTTGCTGTTTTGTTTTGCAGCTTTAGCCCACAAGTAGTCAATCGCGGCATACAAACAATGATTCAATGATAACTTGATGAGGCAATTAATCATTTGAAAGGAAATGTAATATCTTTGTGCAAGGCTTACTCACCACGCTTTTGTCTCCTCTGTGTTTGCACTGGGAGGGCGGGAAAGCTCCGAGGCATTATTCTGTTTGTTTATTCATTCTTTTTGTGGAATGGGTTTTAAAATATCCATTATTAGAACTGTTGTCGTACTATTGCCTATTGCCATGACTACTGTTTTTTGTTTTTCCCAAGTACTGTTGCTATATCCGAACAGAGTTGAGGGTTTTGACATCTGTTGAATCCACATAAATCTGTGTGCATATAAAACAGTGATCTCTCGCTCTTCATTTTGCAGTGTTTATCAGTGCTGCACCTATTTGTTGACATCCTCTGGACATGTGCTTTATTTGCGCACAGGGCTGCAGGCGTCCCCTTCCAAGCACACCAGTTACTCTGTGCGGATGGAGAATGCTGTTCCCATAGTGACGCAGGCCCCTGGTGCCCAGCCTCTGCAGATCCAACCTGGCCTGCTGACACAGGTAGGAAAAGTATCACAGTGGAGAACTAATAGAGTGTTTTGGCCATGAAGAATAACAGTGCCTGTCCGCTTTGGAGCCCACATTCAAACAAAGCTCCCTGCATCCTTTTCTCTTTTTTTCATAACCCTCACTAAGAATAGTTATATCGATGGAGGCTGGAAATCACTCAATGTTCGTGACCCTGCACTTGCTAGCAGCAGTTTTTTTTTTCCTGAGCTCATTCAGGCCAAGCTCTCCTGTGCATTGCTCCCTGCCTCTCTCTCTCTCTCTCTCTCTCTCTCTCTCTCTCTCTCTCTCTCTCTCTCTCTCTCTCTCTCTCTCTCTCTCTCTCTCTCTCTCTCTCTCTCTCTCTCTCTCTCTCTCTCTGCTGTCCCGCTCTCCTTGAGGCTGAGGCTGCCACGGTCTGATGCACACAAAGGCAGGAGCATTTCACACAGAGAAGGCCTTCACTGGAGCCTGCACAGTGGGGCCCGAGCTTTAGCTGCTAATGTACAGTTGTTGGAAGTAACAGAGAGTGACTGTGCATCACACACACACACACACGCACACTCGCACACGCACACACAAACACACACACACGCAGACGCACACAAACACACACACACACACACTGAGGACCACTTCCATCACCACAGCACCTCTCTCCCTATGGAAATTTCCATGAAGGCTTTAAATATCCCTGTGAATCCAGGGAGTTTCAAGCACTCCCTTATCTCCAGTTAATCATGCAGTAGGCAGGCAGACAGGCAGCAAAGATCTGTGTGTGTGTGTGTGTGTGTGTGGTGTGTGTGTGTGTGTGTGTGTGTGTGTGTGTGTGTGCGTG